CAGCTTCACCAGCAATTGCCTTGGCCAGAAGAGTCTTTCCCGTCCCAGGAGGGCCAACGAGAAGAACACCTTTGGGGATGCGAGCCCCAACTGCAGTAAATCTCTCTGGCTTCTTTAGGAACTCCACAACCTCCATGAAGTCCTGCTTCGCTTCATCAACCCCAGCAACGTCATCAAATGTCACACCAGTGTTAGGTTCCATCTGAAACTTTGCTTTCGATTGACCAAAGGCAAGGGGAAAGCCAGGCCCACCGGGACCACCCATTCCTCCAGATGACCTCCTTGAAAGAAGGAATAACCCTCCAATCAAGATTAGTGGGAATGCCAGATTGCCAATCAAGTTAAATAACAGTGAACCAGAGTCTTCTTGAGCATTATGGGCAGCAAAGTCAATGTTCTTCTCCCTAAACTTCTGAAGAAGCTCTTGGCTGAGTCCTGGCAACTGCACACGAACTCGTTGAACACGGTTTCCCAACTCAGGAGAGACAGCCTCCACGATAGCTATCGTTCCATTTTCAAACAAATCCACTTTTTTAACCCTATCCTTGTCCAAATACTCCAAAAACCTAGAATAGGACATTCTTGAGGAAGAAACTCCTTGTTCATCAGCATACGCTCTCCCACTTCCTAATAAAGCAGGAACTCCAATTCCAGCACTTCCAAGCAATGACTTTAAGAATTCTCTTCTTCCTTGATGCTGTTTCTTTTCTAAAGATGCCTTTACGAGGGCAGCTTTTGATGTCCTACCTAATGATGAGAGGCTGGAGGTAAAGAAAATATTCCTTCTATAGAAGTCTTTGCTCAACTTTGATTTTGTTGTGTGGGTAAACAGACCATTCCCCAGCAGGCATGTTGATGATGCTGCCATCTGCACTAGGAAAAGAACATGCACCAGCAGGGTGAATAAATAGTTGTAACAAAAACACTTGTATCCAAACGAAGCATTGATTTCATTCAGTTATTTAAGTCCACTAATCAAAATATATATATATATATATTTTAAGTCCATAAGTGTAAATAAGTGCGTAGGTTCAATATGACCAAATTTTATTCCAAAAAAATAAAGCAATAAAACAACTACCTTGTTATATTCTGACAATTGAACAGGCTCAGTTAAACTATCCAGATGATAAGGAAAATAACAGTGAAATGTGTCTGGAATGTACTACTATCCTATATAACAACTTTATTTCAGTTCATTATCAGCCTTCTGAACAGCAAAGCAAAGTGACATTCACTGCAACAACTGCAAAAGCAAGAGAATAGAAAATCCAAAGCTTGAATAATAGAAAATCCATTCCAGTTATTTGTTATAAAGCCAGCTTTTCACAAATAAAATGTAATTTAGAGGCATAGCAAGAATGTACAAGTCGATCACTAGAAATCTTCATTCATAATATTGTATTAATGGTAATTATATAAAAAAAAATCTTAAAATAAGATATCCAACTTGTCAACCTAGCAGTACATGATTTTCCTCGCAAATTTAGTACAATAAGCACATAAAGCGAGTGATTGGAAAGAAGAGGAAATGAAGAAAATAAATTTACCTTGGACGCAGAGGACTTGGATGAATAATAGAGGAAAAAGAGAGTACCAAAATGAGTTGTTTATAGCTAAGCTGTGGGCTAAGAGAGGAAGTGGGATTGGCAGATACGGGGTTTCCTAACCTCCGAGTGGGAATTTTGGAGAGATTGGATGTGGTTGGGAAAGACTATACGTGGCGTTTTTAGTATGGCTCCGTGTCTCAATTTGGCTGCTTTGATTTTTTTTTTTTTTTGTCTTTTTGTCAGGACTGACCCAGATTTTAACATGGGTTTGACTGTGAATTTCATCAGTTTGCTTGACGTAACAAAACTCTCTTTATTCGTTTTTTTCTTGGGTTTTCAACTCTGTTATACCCTTATTTATCTGAACTTAAAGCCCACAAACAAGACCCATAAAGCCCGTGAGAAAGGAACTGCTTGCTGGCCCCTGTTAGCAAATGCCACCAGGCTGGCTGGACATACTAACATCCGGACAGGCAAGTACTGCTGTCGCCATCGGTGAGCCAAGATGTTTATACAAGGTTAGATTTTTAATTTTAATTATTAGAGTTTAAAATAAAATTCTTATTGGCATAAAAAGTTATCACATATACGCGATGAAATATTTTATCTATAATTTTTTTATTATAATCTTAAAATTAATCAATCAGAACAAAAAATTATATAAAAATTTACTATTCTATATTTATATAATAGTTATCACACATATAAAAGAAGTCACCTTTGAGCGTATGGGCAACAAAAGAGCATTTCGACTTAACTCTACGGCAGCTACAACTATAGATTCAAGAAATTGTGTAAATTGTCATGGTCAATAGATTCAATGTTCCAATTACGTTGTTTGCTATCTGCATCTGCCGATGATATCTTTAGGACCCTACAGTGATAAGCATATAATGTACGACGATGGCCAATACTGATATATGTGATGCCAGCTGCGTTGGTCTTCTCATACAAATGGGCCTGTAAAATTAAGCACCACAATGTAAATATTGCATGGAAGAGAAGTTTCAACATTATGTAATCATGGAGGAATCATCTTTAGCCTAAAATAGGATAAACTATCAACAATCTAGTCTAAGTTATGATAATAACATTACACAATGTTCGAATATGAATCAGGTCAAGTGGAACCACACTCATCACTACATTCACGAATACATTTAATTCATAATATGAGTTGAGTTAGAATCTTTTCAAATATGATTGCACATGTGCTATTAGAAGTTTATGGCTAATAGGACTATGATATGTGTAAGGGATAATGTTACATTTAGTTTAAGAAAATGGCTAATGTGGTATATGCACTAAAAAAAATTCAAACTTTGTATTTTTGTGTATTAATGTAATTCAACTCCAAACACCACTAAAGAGAATTGTTGATGTATCCATCAACCAACCAAAAATTGACACCTGACCAAAGAAATACCATTTCATTATTTGAGATCATTTCAATATGTGCATGTGGTGAACACATGGCTACCACGTATCAAGCTCTCATTGAGTCCTCTCTTGGTAGGAATTAGGTATGGTTTTTTGGGAAAAATGAATTTATCTAAAAAAATCACCCCTAAACATGAAAATTTTCAAACTTCTTTCTTTCATAACCCTTAAAAACCCCAACAACATACCATGAGATTTTGCCTGAGATTGGAATGGATTTGAGAGATAAAAAAAAAAAAAAAAAGTGAAATATAAACCCACAAATATTCATTACAATATTTTGAGATAAATATAATTTTTTCAAAATTTCGTATATTTAGTAATAAGTCAAAGTAAATAATAATAAAATAATAACCTCACCTTCCTCTGTTCTCCTTGACTTCAAATGCAACCACAGGAAAACTACATGACAACCCCATTGGATTATCGAAACTGATCTTGCTAGGATTATTGTTATTCACAAAAATATAAAAATATGCTACCCAAATAAGTTCATACAAGACAGTTTCCCAACGGCATTGAGCCAATACTCCAAGCTCTTCTGCTGTTTCATTAGACGAACCTTGTGGTCTGGTTGTACATGATGTCGACCAGATCGTTCAAAAGCTAGCAGCCCTTTGGCAGACTAAACTCGCTGAGGAGCTCCAAGAACTTTAAGGAACATGCCATGGTTTGTTGCTTTTGGGGACTGTTTAGGTTATGAAAATTTGGAGTTTCCAGGGTTTAGATTATTGGTTTGGGCTTTTTTGTTAATTAATCCTTTTTCCCCAAAAGAAACCTAATTCCCTAAAAAAACCAAATGAAATATTGACACGTAACAGCCACGTGTTCACCACATATGCAACACATGTACATATTAAAATGATTTCAAACGATGATGTGGCATTTCTTTAAGCAAGTGTCAAATTTTGGTTGATTAACAAACATGTAAGTGACTCCCTTTTAAGGGTGTTAGGCATTGGACTAATACACGGAATTAAAGTTTAGATACCACATTAAATATTATTTTAATACAAGTACCACATTAGACATTTTTTAAACTATCGAGTTAAAAATGACTCTATCACTATTGGGCAATATAAATAGGCACATATACTAGTAGAAACTGACAAGAAGTGAGAATCCTAGTTAAAGTAGGAAAAGTTTTCTCCTAAACTCTCTCTTGGCTTATTTTTGGGTATCCACAAAAACCTCTGTGATTTGGAGTGTCGAATCTATGCACAACTGTCGTAGTTGTTCCATAGATGAGAATGATTGAGGAGCTCTTAAAGATTAAATTTAAAAGTAACTCTATGGACGTTCATAAAGCAAGTATCAATAAATTGATCTTGAAAATTCAGATTGGCATTGGAGTAGGTAAAATCTAAACTTGTTTGAGAAGAACAGATTTGACACTATTTTGTTTGTGGATTTTGCTAGAAAATTTTCTACTTGAATTTTTCAAAACTCGAGGTCTAAGTTTTTTCCAATCAAGGGAGAATGATGGAGAATGAGATATCCTATTTAAGAGATTAAGTTAATTAAGGTGTGATTGGTACATAAGATTATGATAAAATAGGATAAGATGATATTATGAATAAGATTAGATTAAATAATGTCATCCTATCTTATGTTTGATGTGTGTGCAATTATTAGGATAAGATAATTTATTTATTGGTCAAAATTATCCTTCCTCAAAGTTTATACAATTTAAATTACTGATGTAATTTTTAAGAGTATAATAGAACATATAAGTTTAATCTCAGAAATTAAAAATAATCCTCTCCATTTTGAAAGGATTGAATCATCCTATACAAGGAGGATAATTAATCCTCCTTGAAATCCTATCCTTTTCTTTAGATACAAACCAAACATAATATAAAATTATTATTATCCTATCCTATCAATCATCATATGCACCAAACATGACCTTAGGACTTTATTTTATATTTTATAATTTGATTGTAATTTTTATAATTATCTACGTTATTTTAGATTATTTAGGTTATTTAATATTAAGTAGTATTTTACTTTTTTTCTTAATATTAGGGCTTTAGGGTTATAATTAGTATTTTTTCTTTTATAAAGGTTTAGGTTCAGTTATAAATACCTAAGCTGTAATAGTTTTAGGAGGCTTTTGATGATTGAATTATTGATATCTTCTGATAATTGAGTTTTGAGTTAATTGTCCCACACCACTAGAAGTGCATAGGTCCCACCACTAAATGGATATGAGCGTATGCATTGGACAAGGACACCTTGGATATGAGACATTCATCTTAACAAACTTCTATCACAAAAACAAGGAAATACAGTCATTTGAACCTGGAGTTTAGCTCAGTTGGTTCATACAGTCACTCTTAAGAAGTGGCATCTAGCAAGGAAATACAAGAAAAGAAAGGAAAAGATAATACATAAACCTCATTGCTTCATAAAATAAAAAAACAGAAATTTTAGAATCCAGACATACCTCATTGACTTCATCCAAAGCACTTGTGGATTCATCCAACAGGGCCAACTTTGGTTTAGAAAGCAACATGCGAGCAAAAGCAAGGCGCTGCTGCTCACCAAGGGAAAGAACACTGGACCACTCATATACTGAATCCAGACCTCTGAAACGAGACAATATATAGCCAAGGCGGACATCTTCTAAAACCTGCATTAAATCATCTGTTGTAGGAATAGGCACACCACGGTTTTCACCCACATTTTCAAAGTTTGGTGGTCGTGTCAAGAAAGAAAGTGAACCTACAATTTAAGGTCAATAAAAGCTTAGTAAAAACTAATGAACGCTCTTAGTATTTTTCCTGTTGTTCTATTTAGCAGGATTATAGAACCGTATTGAGATAAAAATGGATGCAAATACACTCACACATGAATAAATAATAAAATTAAAAAAAGCCATATAGCCAATCAAAGAAATTTAAAAGTTATTACAAGAAATAGATGGTGAATGCATCTACTTACCCAAAGAGCAATAAGTTAAAATCAGCCTAAGATTGTTATCTTTCTTGTGAACCAAGAGAGGCGTCTAGTTTTCTTGACTGATTGCCCTTGGGAGATTGTTTTTGAGTGTTATCACAATATCTTCCCACCCCAGCCACCATCAGCCCTCCTCTCTCTCATCCTTCATCCCTCTTTCTGTCCCAGAAAATCCCCCCCAAAAAGAAATTTGTACTCGTCAAAATACCCCAAAACCAACCTAAAATGTTGAAATAACTCTAAAAGCAATACAAAAGTCAGAAATGGTCAAAACAATCTTAGAAATTCACCCCATGTCTTGAGAAGAGCACATGTCACGCCCAGATGTCAAAGAATCAATTATCATATATCGTTAGAAAAATTTTTTGGTTCATTACAAATTTTAAGTTTTCATCCTTTATTTTTTCTTAAAGCTTTTAATTACTCATTTTGAAGACCACTTAATTAATGGAATATTATAAAGGGAAAACAGCTATATATATTAAGTAGCTAATCTAAAGTTCTTTTTGATAATTTGAATTTCTTAGCCCTGAAAATTTAAATGTTCAAATTCCAGTACTGAAAATTTTAAGCACGGAAAGGAAAAAGTAAAATTGTTAAGCATGCTACCCCAAATTAAATCCCAAATCAATTTAGATTGGGTTGAAATAAGAGATTTTTCTAAAAGAATTTACATATGAGAAGACTTATATAACTGAAACATAAAGGTAATGTAGTAAGAGTGTAAGATAATTTGTGGAGCTCAAGTTCAGCTCCTTAATTATTCAAGCTTGATTAAAATTAGCTATGCTGAGCCTAAACAAGATGAAACTAGGTATGTGAAAATCCACACTCGACTTGCGAGGTATTGTTCGCTTTGATTAAAAGGTCTCACAGTTTTATCTTATAAAAAGTGTTTCACAAGTATGGGTTTAGATCTCTACACATATATTATATCATATCCTCACATTCTTCCAATGTGGGATTGGGGACGTCACAATCGCCTCTTATAGAGCACTTAGCTTCCATGTGATTGGTGACCACTTTGACACCATTTATGGAAACTTAGCTTCCATCCGATTGGTGATCACTCTAATTTAACTTGAAAGTCTCATGGTTTTGTCCCACAAAAGACGCCTCACAAGTATGGGTTTAAATCTCTACATATATATCATATCATATCCTCACATTCTTTCATTGTGGGATTAAAGGCATCACAAGATACAACTCATTTAGAAACTTAAACAAAGGAAATGTCCTAAATGTTGAAATATTAACTCCATGGCAACAATTTGACAAAATATTGCTTGGAAGCCAAAAATAAATTGTTGGCATGGTGCTATTAAAACCTCAAACTCATATTGATTTGCATTAGATGGTCAACAAAGTATACATAAAGTAAACAAGAAATCTGATTTTCACCAAAAGTAGATGATAGAAAATAAAGTTATGCTAATTAAGAGATTGAGAAATTTTTTATTTTATTTTATTTTATATTTTATGGGTTTGATTGTAATCTTTATAATTATCTATGTTATTTAGATTATTTAGGCTATTTAATATCCATTAGTATTTTATTTATTTTCTACATATTAGGGCTTTGGGTTATTATTGCTATTTTGGATTTTATTAGAGTTTTGACTTTAGTTATAAATACCTATGTTACTTTAGTTTCAATTAGGTTTTGGATATTGAATATTGAGTTATTAAGATAATAACATTTTCCCTCTATTGATGTTTTCTTCCTAAGTTCTTCTAATTATCCCCCAATTTCCTTTGCTTCTTTCTAATTGTTCTTGTCTGTTTCTGAGTTTATCCCTAAATTTCTATATTTGGTCTCTTTTCCCTACTTGTCCTACATCAGTAGAAGAGTTGTTCAGAATAAATTTCTAAGGGATATTCACTGACCAGATAACAGATTGGTTGCACTAGATTAAAATGGAGCCTGTACATATTTCTTTCATGGAAAATGAATTTCACTTCCGTACATGTTGTTCTTTTCGTTTTAAATTATATAATACTAATTACACATTCAGAAAATTTGTTTTGCTCTTCTTAAAACTTGCAAATGCTTTTTAAATTGATTATGGTATGTGGACTTGTTATTTAGGTGGGACGTACCTCCAAATTTGGTATCATCTGACACAACTGCCTCTCCAGCCCATGTTGGATAAAGCAATTGCTGACGAAGTGTTCCCAAAACCATATATGGCCTTTGAGGAAGGAAAAACACACTTCTAGAATTACCATTTATAGGTCTTCCAAACTCATTCATATCTGCCGAATTTACATCAACAAGAGCCATATCTGAAGAAGTGAGTGATTGAGCATCACCTCCATTCTCCACATAAAATGTGACTTTCCCTTTTCCGGTAGTCCAAAGGCCAGCCAGTGCTCTAAGCAAAGATGTTTTGCCACTACCACTAGGTCCTATTACCTATTAAGACATTCAACAACAAATATCTTTAGCCCTACTTATCAACTCAGTACACAAGCTCAAAAAATTGAATGTACAAACTATGATACTAACCAACAAATGATCTTTTTCATTAATCGCAAATGATAAGTCTCTAACAAGAGTAGAGTTATTTTTTGGCGTCTTAAGACTCAAATTTTCTACATCCAGCAATCTGAGAGACGTGTTTACTGGTATGGATCCATTACAATCCAAAACTTGTGACCCTTTTTTGAAAGAATATGTAAGATTAATATGCTCCATGGGATCAGAGAGACATTTTGATCTGCTGATATCCAGAACATCATCAAATTCACCTGAAAATGTGTTTGGTGTCAAAATTGTTATCATTGGGTACATAATTATCTTAGTTAAACACATAAACAGATAATGTAAAGCATAGTGGGCAAACAATGAAAAACACTACAATCAATCAGAAAGCAATTTCACAAAATTTCACAGATGAAGGACAAGGCAGCAAATCAGCAATAATTATCAGCAAGGAACAGATTGAATGACCTTGATTAGATAGAATGTGAGAATGATAACTAGTTAGTCTAGAAAAACAGAAGCACAGACTATAAGTTATTTCATCAATCATTGTATATTGTATCCAAGATGAGCTAAAGAAAAGGATAATAAACAAAAAGAAATATACACTTTTACATGAAAAAGAAATGAAATGCCCTTCCTAAATCTCTACACAAAGCCAGGATACCTGCAAGACAAATCTTGCAATTCATAATTGAATTATACTCCAAAGGAATATGTTTCAGTCATAAATGTTGAAAAAGCTCTTTTTTTTTTATATATATACTTTGAAAAGTCTGTATGGTTAAGTTTACAACAAAATGAACTAAATATTTACTTTGGGAGCTAGAAATAAATATACTTTACTCTTCCTCTTTATCACAACAAACAGTCAAGCCACTCATTTCTTCTACAATTTTAAACTCTGAAGAAATGCTATAGAGCCTAATTAAATTATGCAAATGATATATAGGAGTAAAGGGGGTGAAAACAATGTACCAAGTCTATCAATGGCAGCTGAAAAGGCACTAATTGCTTGAAACTGATATACAATGAGGGAGATGTCTCCAAGGATATGATTAAAAGCTGATACAGACTGATTAATGACACCAAACTCAATTTTTCCAGAGAAATACATAGGAGCAACTACAGCAGCGGGGAGAATCTGAATGAGGTAGCGGTAGCCATTGGTGAAAAACTCGAGATTTCTGGAAGAAATCAACAATTGCTGCAAAAGGAAAGGACCAAAAGGTTAATGTCATAAAACAATTACATAGTATTACATCCACAAGTCAAGAACAAGCTTGCAAGAGATAACAGCAAAGAAAGAAGAAGATACAGCCATTTTGTCGAATGCTTTAAATTAGGGAAATGGCACATGAGTTTAGGAATCAAGAGGAGAGGAGATTGAGAATGTGCATACAGTTAAATTTTCAAAAGCACTTGTGAAGCGCTGCAACAAAAGTTGCAGTTCACTATCTTCACCACCATAGAAAGCAATGGATTCAGCATTTTCTCGGACACGAACAAGTCCATAACGGAAGTCAGCTTCTTTCTTCTCTTGAAGGAAATTAAGAGTAACTAATCCCTGAAATGACAAATGAGACAAAGGGAGAAAGCAAAGTTATGCTCGAAGCGTTGAAATAAAAAGAAGTAGAGCAAGTTTGATAGAGCATGCAATACCTTGCCAAGAAAGATGCTAATAGCTGTTCCGCCAATAGAATAGAGAAGAAGAACAACAAACAAGGGAGGATAGATAGTGTATAAGATATTGCTGAAAGAAATCAAGTCGACAGCAGCATTGAAAAGAGTCAAAGAGAAGGAAAGGGCAGTGGAAGTGAAGGAACTAAGATCATCCACTATGCGCTGGTCAGGGTTATCAATAATGGACTGAGATTGGATTTTGTAAAAGGTCCGGTGGGTGAGATAGCGTTGCATGAAATAGCTTGTCATCCAACATCTCCATCTTAAAGAAAGAGTTTCTCTTGCATAATCTCTCAAAACGAAAAACTGAAAGCTAGAAAAACATAAACTAACTTAAGAAGAAACAACAAGACATATAAGTGGCAGCAGAGCAAAACAACAGTTATACATACTAGTATTAAAGAAGAAGCGAAAGAAACAAGTGATTGGTAGCATAGCAAAGCAAAACATAACTTCTCACCGGAATTCCACCAGCAAAGCCACAGACATAGTAAAGAAGTTGCTTGGTGAATTGTTCCTCATCTTTGTCTTTTATGTAGATTTGTTGTTATTGGAACAAATTACAAAATCAAACCGCCATCAGACATTTTATTACTAAATAGATAGCCAAGGAAACTGAAGAAAGAAAAGAAAACAGACTTGCTAGCGCATTGTAAAAGTCCCGGCCAAGGAAATTGAAGCCGACGCTGATGCCGGTGGTGGCCAGAGTGAGAGCGAATACAGCGGTCAGCTGGAGCCTAGCTTCGACCTTATCATCAGAGAACCAATATGGGGCAGCCACCTTCCAGAATCTATGAAACAGCATGTTTAAGTCGGAAACCTTCCTCTGCTGCCCCTCATCGTTATAAGGTGGTGTCGGTAATTGGGATTGGGAGGTAGATGCGATATTCCATGAATTAGAATTTCTCCTTTTAAGACGCCTAGAAATGAAGAAGAGCGGATGCCGGTGATGATGGCCATGGGAGGAGGAGGAGCAGGAGTTCTTTAACTGTCTGTGTAGGTATGGGTACGAGTACAACACCGCTTGTGCCGCTATCATTTTTTCCCCTTTATCCCCTTCTTCAAATCAAACACAAATTTCCTGTGGTTTGCTTGGGAACTACTGCTATCAGCTTTCAAAATGAAGGGCTTGATTTTGGATTGCTTTAGCTCAACTTCTAGCGGGTGGCACCGGTTACAGATTTTGCATTCCAAAATAACCCGTTTTATATATATATATATAAAAAAACAAGAGAGATAATTTATACTTTAATACTTATAAATTATTTAAATTTGATTTAAATAAAATTTAAATTCAGTTCAATTATTATCGAGTCGAGCTCAAGCTCGAGTGATTTGATTTATCAATTGAATTGAGTTTGAATATTTTTATACTCGATTCAAGTAACTCACGAAATTAGTTGAGCATTTATATTTAAATATATTTTTATTATTTTAATTAATAAAATATCTTAAATTCGAACTCGAACTCAAATAAAAATAATCAATTTTTTATCAAATATAAAAATCGAGCTTATTTTTATATGTTAATCAAACTTAATAAACCGAATTTAAGTAATTTGATTTTTATCTTGAGTCAAACTCGAATTAAAAAAATAAAATTCAATCGAGTTCGATCCAAATTTTGATTCTTAAATTTTGAATCGAGTTTAAGTTTAAACTTAATATTATATAAATTTAAATTCGATCGATTATATTCTTATATCAAACTAGATAACTTTACATCAAAATAAATTAATTTTAAATCGATTTATGGAAGTAATATTTATAGTTCAATAAATTTATATATAATATAAATTTTTAAGTTTATGAATAAATTATAATTTATCTGGTTAATTTTTTTATTTGGATTTTATATATTTTAATTTACTGATAGAAAAAAATTATATATTAGATATAATTTTGTCATTATCATCAAACTTAAAGGAAACTTATAATATAATTTATTGAATCCAGATAATTACTCAACAAAAATCAACCATATCTTTTATTCCAAAAAATTGAAAGCTTTGTCGTTTTAGAATTAATCTTGTATATAAATTTTTTCCTTTTTATTTTTCATAGGTTGTTGGGCGGTAAATGATTCTTTAAGTAATTTTTATTATCTTTGAAGGAGATCTCATTTACTTAATAATCCAGTAGATTCCATAAAATATATATATATAAAGATAAATAAAATAATAATTTGTAATTTGATTTAAGTTTAAGTTATTGTTCAAGCTGAAATCCAAAAAAGTTATATTCAGACTATATAACTTTGTATCAAAGATAATCATTATAGCACTTGTTCCAACAAATTTTTTTACTTCCTAAGTTTAGAATTAAAGTAATACACTGTAAGTTCCGTATCGCGTGCATTTGTGTGATTTTTTAAAATATATAAGGGCATTTGTGTTATTTTCTTAAATTAAGAAAATTTTAAGCGATAGTAATGTAGTTTTAATGGTTGAATTATTTTAATGTAATTTTGTCTGCATTTAATTTTATTTTAAATTTTCTTAGTGCAAAAATTAATTAAATAATGCTTGAAAGTTGAATTTAACAATAGACCATTTTCGTGATATTATCAAAGTTGAAGAAGAAAATGATACAAAGACGAATTTTCAAAAGGCATATATAACATTTTTCTTATATTTAATATGGTAGAAAACTGAATAAAAAGATATTGATCGACCCAAAAATCGAATTTGAATAAGATTAATATGAAAATTTTGAAGCTATTATTGGTAGTTTAGAGTAAAGATTGTAACAAATTTTATTGTTTTTTTTTTTATTAGAAAAGGCATTATCTTTGGTTAGTAATGTTGTCGCAATTTTAAATTCCACTGCTTGAATTAATGCTTAAACTGACATAAGAGATTATTTGAATGGTGCTGTTCTGGATTAGTGCATTTGCATTTTTCAAGAGAACATTAGTCAGACTATGCATAACTACTATGCAAATGTTAAGTCGAAACCACTGATTATAACTGTGAAAGCAAAAGTTTTTTAAAATGTTTGTAAAAAATGCCAAACAAATCTTGGATTGATAATTGATAATATTATCAATTTTTTCTATGTTTTTAATGAATGAGTTACATTTTACTTCAGTTGTACTTTGTAAGTTGGTGTTAAATTTTACTCATTAAAAGTGAATTCAGATTATTTAGAGGCATACAAAATTTTTGTGGAATAAATAGAGTAAGTCAAGAAAATGAGTAAGAATAGGTTTTTTTTACAGCGATACCTAGCTTTGTTCTCGTCGTCACATTTTGTATGTCTAATTTGTTATTTATCAAGGTAACTTTTGATGACATTTGCTTTTCTTTAATTTAGGTTCTTGATTTTGCTAAACTATTAAATAATGAAATAAACTATGGGTAAGAAAATAATCTATACAATTGCACAGATGAAATGCAAAAGTTTGTACAAAAGGCATGCTAATGTTAAGGATTTTACAAAATTTATTCAGCATCATAAACATATATACATATGATGTCCAAAACATACCATTAGTTATTATACATATGATGTCCAAAACATACCATTAGTTATTAACCATCTGTTTCATTACTTCATATTTAGCACAATGATGCTAACTTATTTAGTCCTTACATAAAGTTAATTTTTGACATTCTAGAACCTCAATTGATGTCAATAAACTTTTTCATGAAAAAGTAAAAATTGGTTATGGTCAGCTTTTTTTTATCTGTCAACTTACTCAGCTTTATCCTATCAAATTTTTAACGAAATGGGATACTATATTATAATGCCAAATTTTGTAGTCGAAAATGCCGATGTTGATTCGTACGACAAAAGAATCCAAAGAGAGAAACAGACAAAAAAAAATGTTTGTGGTATCATCTTTAAATTTAAGGAAATTTCTAATCCAGATCACACTATCTATAACTTGTAATACAAGTTATCCCCATTTGGTACTGTAAAGACGACCCCGCATTAATTTTGGGTTAAAAAAGCTCTCGATGCTTCATCTGCTTTCTAACATTTTCGACTACAAAATCTCGCTGAGCTGTGTTACTCCGGCACAAACGGCTTCTTTTCCTCTCATCCCTGATCCCTTGGGTATCATTGCGTGGCTCTTAATCTCCGTGGGTTTAGTGACACTTCTCCTTCCTCGGCGGATTCATACACTATATTCCACATCGTCAGCGGCGTCGTCGACGACAACAAAGATCACCGATTTGGACGAAGACTCATTGGCTCATTGCGGGATCTGGAGATGTCCTTCGGATACCGTCAGAAACTTTTAGGTTCTTCCATCTGAGCGACGATAATGAGGTTGAGGGCACGAAATGGGCGGTCCTGACTGCCCAAGACTATGTTATTTTAATTTTTGAGTCATAATATTTTAATCTCTTTGTTTTTTTTTTTTTACATTATTCATGTTATTGGTGATTTAAAAAAAAAATTGGACTTGGGTTTGTAGATGCAAGAAATAGAATTTGTGCTGAGTTTTGCTTGATTTAATTGAATAAGGAAGGTTATGCTTGACTCGAGAATTGCTTTTTTTTTTTTTTTTTTTGGGTTTTAGTTTGTGTCAAATATTTGTTGTGAGGCTTGCATGTTGTTTTGAATGTATTTTTTTTGGAATATTTTGTCTTTGCATGTTAGTGCTCTTGTGTGGAATTTCCTGTATTCTGATCCTAATTTTGGATTTTACCAGGCTAAGGAGCTTTTAGATCACCTCGGAAGTGTTCTTGCTAATGAGCCAGTTTCAGTTAAGAGCGGCCAGCACATCGTACAAGTTAAACCTCAGGCTAGTACTAAACCAGTCTCTATCATTATTCTTACATCTTCATATTACATGAATTACCTTATTGCATGAGTTAACAGAAAACTGCACGGCAAGGTTATTCAAGTGAGTGAAATCTTGAAGAGAATAATTTTTTAGTAGAATTTCTGTATGTAATCTGATGGACACATTTTTTTTATTTCCTGTATTTTCTTCGATATAAGTAGTTTTATTTAAACAACCAAGGTGAGACTTTTCCAACCTTGTGAATTACTTTAACAGGTATAAAAAGGAAAAAAATTTGCTTATTGTCTTTTTTTTCCTTTACAATTATCTTAAAACTCAGAATAACTTGAGTTAGACATTGCTTTGAATGTCAAAATCATATAAATCTTCATTTACAGGCCTTAGTGAGTCAGCATCAAAACTTTTATTATCTTCTTGAGCCACATAGAATATGTGCTAAATGTTAAAGTGTGTTTCTTTATGCGGGAGAATAGGAGAATTATGGTTTGCTTCTCAATGTCCCTTCGTCTTTACATTTAAGCTAAATTTAAATCTTCTAATTTTGTTAATGTTCGTGGCCTGCATTTGGCATGCACATTATCCTACTTTGTTATGTGAAATCGATATTTATTGCCATTGTTTTTTTCCCCTGCAAACACTATCCTCATGGGCTACTTTCAGTGTTGAAGAGGTTGTTTCAACAGGACCTGACATTCACTTCTTCCAACTCTATATGAGTTTGAGATATCTTCTTTATACTTTATACATTTTGTCTTGCTTTTTAGTATTGTGATATAATTGTTTGATTTTAAAATAGAACCTTAAAAAGATAGTTTATATAAGCTATAACCAGGCTTTACAATTATGCTGGATGCACATGTTACCAAGATACTGAAAATATGATCTTTTAAAGCTTTTATTTCATTTTATATCATTATATATCAATCATTACTGCATATTGTTCAGGTATACAAAGTCAGGAAGGTTGCACAGATTGTGAGAAGAGCCGAAAGGGTTGGTTTCAAGGCAATTGCCCTTACAGTGGATACTCCAAGACCTGGCCGTAGGGAAGCTGATATCAAGAATAGCTGAGAAGAGCTGAAAGGGTTGTTTTTTTTTTTTTTTTCTATGTACATAAGTTATAGATCTAAGAATATAAATATATGTTAATTGTGACTTCTAATATATTGGTATTATGATGTTTATTTTATTTATGTGGTACACGTTGATGAGAAGAGGGAAAAATTCAATGAAATTTGAAAATGGGTTGAGTGAATATATCTAATAAAAGGGAAAATGGGTTTAGGGATTTTAGGGGTTTAAATAGCAGTTACACTTGCCCCAGCTTAAGATGGCCATAATGCAGATGGCACACCTGCCCCAGATGCAAGTGATAGACAAACTAATGCAGCTTCAGGATCTAGCAGTAAAACTGCTGCTGCAAGGGGTTCGGACTCTGCTAATATTAGGAGTGGTTATGGCTCAAGGGGTGCAATGTCATTTGCGGCTGCTGCCATGTGGGCTTGGATATGCCAATGGTAAAGGTATTGGGGGAGCTAGAGATGGAAAAGGATGGCCTCCATTTGGCAGTTCTAATGAACCTCCAAAGTTGATATTATAAGATTCTGGATCTGTTCTATTCGAAATTTGCTTATTCAATCATTGTGAGTCACATTAATTGATCCATAGTTTCTATATAGACTGTAAATGTCATGTTTGATCCTTCAGTATAATAAGATTTTGGCATAGGTTGGAGTTGACTTGATGCTACTAGAACCACTACGGGGTTACAAAGGATTTGCATATTATGCAAACAACATTTTTTATTTAGTTGGTAATTATGTGATAGTAAAAATAATGCTCAAATAACTTGAAAACTACATGGTTAAGAAGGAACTGACAATTTTGTTCAACAGGGTTTCCAAGCACTACAGGAATTATAGCAGTGGCTGTAACACGGGTGTTATCTATTTTCATTTGTAACATTGATTCAAAATTCATCCTGGTGTGTATCCCTCATTATGTTCATATCCTTATATAGATTGTAATGAACATTCTCAATATACTTCTAATCTATACATCTGGGAGAAGGCCTCTTCTAACGGTTAGACTATAAAACAATCAATTGCCCTTTGTTTCAACTAAATTGAGAAACTACTACTGAAATCCAAACATTCTTGCAAGTTTCGATTGTTGGTGCATTATTTGGTTGCTTCCTTACAGGCGTCTCATTCCTCTTGCAATTTCTTCAAAAACATCACATAAAATTTTATTTACACCATCTAGAAATTGTCTTTTCTTCATCTTATTTTCCCTTGATCTTTATTTTTTGAAAGATATAAGATGTCATGAGCAGGATCTTCATTGCTTGGAGGAAATCACTCCAATTTTGGAACTTATTGGCATCCTGGCAATACAAATTACATACCAACACTTCTGTGTCCTTTTCCTTAAACATGTTATCCTGTTGATTACATCTGTATTGAACATATTTTCATTGTTCATCTATTTAACAACTGGGAAACAAAATAAAGGCACAACAGATACTTTTATCTATAGCATGAAGAATGTTGTGAAAACCATGACTTCTATCAACCATGTTTGTTCTTTTGTCAGATTTCTTCAGTCATTGCACAGTCTAGAGGCCTCTTAAGGCTACATTAGATATTTACTTATTTTGTCTTGGTTTCCTTATTAGATACATGAGCTTTATTTATATATTTTTTTTATTTTCTACATTCAGATGTGCATGGGATTTTATTCATTAGGGATGTCAGGAATCCCATGTATTATAATGGCAGACGTTAGTCAAGAGATTTAATCCTCATTTCTTCATCATTTTATGCATAGCTAATGGCAACTAAATGTTTTTTTTTTCTTTCCCAGATATTTCCTGTAAATATAAAAGGCTTAATTGAAACTTTTGTAACCTGCTTAGCTGGTTTTGTTCTTGGATTGCTTTTTGTACTTTCAACTTTTTACTTTAATAGAGCTCTGCTGGTGAACTTTAATGCCTCTTTTTTCCCTAATTCTTCTTCTTTCATTTCCACTATGGTTATGATTCTAGACCATTTATCATTACACTATTTTAGGAACATTCTTCATATTTTCAATTTGAAACGAAATGCCATTTTATGAGATTTCTTTCTTTTTCATTTTATATATAATGTGTCAAAGTCTTAAGATTGGGGTGACAATATTATTTCTGTTAATCCATAATTTATATCTACATCCTTTTGGTTGCTGACTTGCAGCTACTTCAAAATTAGCAAATGATTCTAAAGAGACTAAAATGACCGGTTTGATAGCCAGTTTATTGCAAATTCATCTGGGGTGAGTTCATAATTGTTTTTGTAAATCATTAATGCAAGCATATATGTTATGCAAAATCATTATTGAAGTTTACCGGTTGGTTAATGAACTATGCTTGCATAGCTGTTTCGAGTTTTAACTCTGTTTGAAGCAACCGAGAAGAAACAATAGATGAGACTTGGATATGTGAATATGTCTGCTTAGGAACCTTTTTTTATAAATGAGTGAAAAAACATACTTTTAAATTTTGCTTTTTTTTAGATATTTGTAGGTTACAATTTCTAACTGCAGGTGGAATCTCTGGTCAGAGATATATGCAATGCGACTTCATTTGCGGAGTTTGAACTAAAGGTAAGTGGTTTAAACTTTAAATACTTGTGTTGTAAATTGCTTTATAATGTGAATGGCTTTTCTACATGAATTTGTTTTCTTTTGTATCCAAAACAATTGCAGATCTTTTTTTTTTTGAATTATGAAATTTTTAAGCTTTCTGCTTATTTCTATGTGTTAGCTTGGTGGATTTTGACTATACATTGGGAGGGACTTAGCTGGACCTCTAACTTAGAAGCAATTCTAACTTCTAAACAATAATTCATATGTTAATTTACATTGTTATTCTATTTGCTTCTATCCTTAAAATATTAGAAATTTTGAGTTGAAAAGGTTTCAGTTGGCCAAAAACATGCAGAATTTTTGTAAAATAATACCACAAGCAATTTTAGGGCAGTTTTATTCTCATTTTATTCTTGGTTTTGTGGTTTGTAGAAATTTATTGATCTTGAGGTCATTTAAGAATCTTTTATCATGTTGATCTTGAGGATCAAAATTTTCATAAAATATTTTATCATTCCATTGTTGATCTTGAGATCATTTCAAAATCTTGTGTAAAAATTTGTTGATCTTAAAGTCATTCCAGAATCTCTTGGTAACAGAATTTATCATGATTATGAATAATTTTCTTCATTATTATGTTGTAAACTTTGACTTTTAACTCTCATCATTTTAGCAGCTTTTTTTTCATATAAAAAAACTTCATTTTCATGGTTTAAACATGCCCGCAGCATCTGGCTAGTTATAGATAAAAAGGATCCCTTAAGGATCCTGTGTTTAACAACTGTTTTTTTTTTTTGTTTTGTGGGTTTTCCCTTTTGCTATTCTATTTTTAATTATTCTTTTATGTTTCTGGAAGCTTCCTTGCATAGCTTTTGGAGGATTTGAGTGTCAGATTGATTGCCATATGTTGTTTTCTAAATATTACGTGGTAAGAGTTTTTAACAGGTGTAACAAGAGAAAAAGTAGATCATAGAAAAAGAATGCTAACAAAATACCCTCTTCTTAACCTTCTTCTCGCATCCCCCTGTTTCATTCCATTACTTTGTCTTTCTTTTTCAAAATTTACCTTTCCTTATTTTTCCTCCCTTTGCTTTTTTTTTTTTTAAACTAGATTTTTTTGGTTTTTCTCTAATAAACTTATGGAGATCTTAATTCTGCATGGAGATTTTCTTCTTTGTTTTCCCTCTTTTTTCTCTTATCTCCTCCTGTGATGTGAGTTTTGATCCTTTGATTTTAAATACAAGTTTAGATTGTTTGTTTGTCATGAATTTAAAGATTAATAATTTTTTTTAGTTTTTAGTCAAAATTTCTAGAAACTCCAATCAAGGGTTCTCCCACTCTTCACTCTTCCTACCCGCAACCCATTCTTTCTGTCACAAATCCTTCTGTTCCAAACCCCTCATTTTGCCCTTTTTCCATAGCTAGGTAGCTTTATCAATAAAAAATTCCCCTTTTTCATTTTGTTAATATACCAGTTTGCCACTAACCTATGTGCCTTTTTTTCAGTTTGGTGGTTCAGCTGGTTAGGAAATGGAAGGAATCAATGAACCTTTCTTTGACGATTTAGCGGAGAAAGAGGAGAGCGGTGAAGATGACGAAATAGAGAGCAGTGTTGATTTGTTAATGAGGTTCTAGAAGTGTGCCAAGAAGGCCTTTTGCTCTATCTTACCTGTTGCAATACTGCCCCAATTGGTGAAAAATGTCTTTAATGAATTTTGAGATGTTCTTTGAATTTGTTTAATTTATTTTCAAATAAAATTTATCTAATTAATATTTTCTATTTTTTGTTTTAGTGATAGGAATATGCATTAACAGTGATTGTTCAAGGTAATTGGTCACTTATACTTAGGTAATTTGGAAGATTGTGTTTTTCTTTTTTACTTATTTTTTTTAATCTTGTTTGGTTTTTAATAATTTTTATTCTAATGTTTATCTATTATTTTTTTAGAAATATTATTGTTGGTTAGATGTGAATGCTGATGAGGTTTTGTACAAATCATTTTGAAAATGGCTATAAATGACCTAGCAATTTATTCTACTGACTACTTACCCTTTTAAATGCAATTTAGTTTCCATATGATAAAATCCATGTCTCATTTTGTTCATTGATCAATCTAAAATTGTTTCTTGCAATAATGATTGTTGGATGCAAATAAGGGCTGGTTAAGTTTGATTCAATAATTCTTGACAATATTTATATATTCATGTAGTGCACTTAATTAGCATTGATGTGATTTTCTACTGTTACAACACTTTGTGTATAGAAATTTTGTAATCAACTCAAATCTCCTTCTTTTAAAATCTAAAAAAAAAGCAAAATAATGCATAAAACTTTAGGATATACAACAATTAAATTTTTTTTATCTTACATAATGACAATAGAATTTAAAACCTTATAAGATTGACGTGTAATATATTTAACAATTAACTTAGAATGACAATGGAATTTATAAAAGTTTGACCATCCTAAATAATGTATATCTAAGAAATATATTTTAATCATTTGCTTATTTGGTAATTAAAGTATGTTTTACTTAATTAATTGCTATTTGCTACTGGATGCAAATGTTAAATGTGCAATTGGATACAAAATTGGTTATTTTGCTTTTATATGAAATAACTAAATTATAACTCGTACTATTAACAAAATAATTTTACTTATTTAATATGAATATATATATATATTAGTTTATTTTCAAAATTATATTTAAAATTTTATAACTCATAGTATATAATATATATATATATATGTATGTATATATATATATATATTGGCTTGTCATTAAAAAATAAGTTTTTTGAAAATAGCAAGAAAAAAATTATATCTTTCTTTTGGATATTTTTATTTAAAATAATATTTATACATCTGTAAGATTATATCAAATAAAAATAAACTGTCTTTTATTAAAAAATAAAATATATATTATTGAATTATAAATTAAATAATAAAAGAAGTATTAACATACTTTCACTTTAGTAATCTTGACTAAATTATTATGCAAAATATGAAAAATGTTAGAAAATATGTAAAACAAGAAAAAAAAATTGAAAAAAAATTTTTTTTTTATAAAAATGAAACTATAATAACAATAAAATATATCTTGAAAAAAAGTTATAAACAAAAAAAAAATTACAATAGTAATAAAATATACTTTGAAAAAAATTACTGAAAAAATAAAAAAAATGATGTATAATAAATTACGTTTATAGTCTCAAATTTGTAGAAAAATTTTTTAGTAGCAATTAGGATTAAATAGATAATTTTTAAACATATAAATATGTATTATCAGTTGGATTAAATATATGAATTTTACTTGGTAGATTGTTTTATTGAAGAATTTTAGAATAATTAAAAAAGAAGGCTTCGTATTACTTTGGAATTTTCTTCAAGGTAATATGATCATGTTGCGTCTTGATCTCGGGACTCGACAAAAGTGGTTAATTTTTAAAATGTACAATGGATAAAATAAGTGACAAAGATAATATTAATTTTTTTGCATTTATTTTAAATATAAATTTAATAATAAAAGTTCAAATAGATATAATCGTTTTGATGATCTTATTATTTAGAAGTTTTAAGATGAAAATTTTTTGAATTTTTAAAATTTTACATGAAGTTACCTGAATTTTTAATGTCTTACGTAAATTTTTTTAAAAAATAACTTTTTAAATCAAGATAAAAAATATTATTGAAAATTTTAGATAAATTTAATTTATATAATTTTTAAACATGTTCAAAAGATTTTGATAAATAATTTTTTAAATAAGATTATTTGGTAAACAATTAAAATTATTTATTAAAAAAATATATTTCATATTTCATATTTTTAATTTTAAAAAATATATCTTTAAATTGATTTGATTTTCAATTATAATTTGAATAATTTTAATATCTGAATAAATTTAAAATTATGTAATTTGTAATTAAAAGAGATTATTTTATTTTTTAAAAAAATTATCCTATATGTCATTTAAAAGAGTTGTCTACATAAACGCTCATGTGACGAACTTGTGTATGTATGTTGTTATATAATATATATATATATATATATATATTAGATTTTAATAGAATAATGGAGTTTATTGGCTTTTACATTTTTTGCTAATCTTATTTGCTTTTTTTCTTAAGATTTGTGTGGATTTTGTGATTTTCAATGCTTAAATGAATAGCATATATGTTTTGTTAAAACTTATATACAGTTTAGATGTTTAAATCCTTAATGATTTTTTAAGGTGAAGATGGGATGTTGAGCAGAGTTTTTGTATCTAATGCTGTTATGGAGTTGCTTTTTGTTGTTTTAACTAATCTGGGTATTGTGCCACCTAATTGGAGGCCAACTACGGATGAGGAAAGGAGGAAAGGAGGGAGGCTTAACCATTGTACAGAGTTCAATGGTTTACTGGCAAACCCATAGAAAAAATTCAAGTGACTTTTGCAGTTGATGGAGTCCTGTTGTTGACTACACTTTCCATTGTCAAAGCACTTCTTCAAGTATCATCACTATCATTTTCTATTTTTGTATAGTTAAGATTTTACATAATACTGCTTTTACAACATTTTAGCATTGACAAATGCATGATTTGACATTACATTGGACATTATCTTAAATCTATCACTATTATCATTTCTTACATAACGGAAATCAAGCTGAGAAATCATATAATTAAGATTCAATTAATTGGGAGCCTAAATCAAACCAAAAACATTATTGGAGAGTTGGATTAAGTTCCTAATGTTGTGGATTGACACTTCTAACAGTATCATTCTACATAAATTATCTTCAGTTTGCTTTGATTATAAACATAATTGCTAAAGATCAAAATGATAGTAACTATTTAATAACAAGCAGTTTGCAATCTTGGATATGCTATGTTTGTGGTTATCTTACTCTTTCGTGTGATTGGGGTTGTTGTTTTGTATTTCTATTAAACTGGGAATTATGTTATCCAAGGGAAGGGTTCCTTTGGCATTATCAAGCTAGTGACATTATCTCATCATTGGCTAAATGCTAAAAATTAAAAATCTCTTTAAAATCTTAAAAGGATCATGGTTCCAAACTCTATCTGTGAACTTTGGATTTGTTCTGTTTGTGTGTTCTTCTTTCACCTAAATTCTCAAATTTTTTATTTACTAATAGTATTGTTATTTTTTATGATCAGTTCTATGGTAATTTCACCTTTTCAGGTGGGTGGTCGGTGCTGAAGATGGATCATTATTGTGTGAGATTGTAAATTGTGTTGGTGCACTAGATTACAAGTATTTTCTTCTTTTTTTGGTATGTCTGCTTTATGTTGAATTAGTTTCTTATACATTTTATGTTTTATAAGTTCTAATTGCATTTTTCATATTAGACTCTTAACTATTTCTACTATTTTCATGTATAATGTTAGCTATATGATTGTTTTGATGTAACTGTCAAGCTTGCAAAATCTCATTAATAGTAGTCAATTATATATAGAAACTTGGCTTAATATATAAAGTGAAAGTCTTATTGTAATGATATAAAGTAGAAGTCTTATTGTAATGTATAAAGTGGAAACTTCGCTTAATGGGAATTATGTTTCCCTGAACTGTCTTATTGTAACTTAAAGCATAAAAGCTGAATTTAATTTTAATAATCTTATATACTAACTTCTTATATAATATTTAAATTTATAATTTTTTTATTTATAAGTACATCCGAATCGTTTATTTAATTTATTTAATATAAAATTATTATTCCGAAACGAAGCGAAGCTTAAGGATTAGTTCAATATTAATAAACGTCATGACACCTTTATCAACATTGGAATCTTCTCAATGTTGAGGCTCTTAATGTAAAGAAATTTGAAGGTAATCATAGATACCAACAATCATGATTCCAGCGTGAGGTATAAGCTTTGATTATGATGCGATCTTTTTGTTTTCAGTTGCATTTGCAGTGGATCCTCTCTATCATCAAACATGTGCGTAATTTGATGGTGAAGCCAAGGGTCTGTTGCTGATTAATCTTGGTGCTTATTCCGGATGTCGGGTTCTCTTTGATTCATTCGAAGTTCTAAGGAAGAAAATGCCTTCTTCAAATCAACACGATATATCTGAAACAATTGATCTGTCTTTTGCTGGAGGTTTGTTTTTGGTTTTCCCTTGTGTGTTTTGATATCTTTAGATGAAAAGCTTAGGTTTTTTATTAATTTCTGTCGTTCCTTGATCTATTTTCAGAATACGTTGTATGATATTCAACATGCGAGTAAAGGATGAGATTTCACCGACTCTCAAGAAGACATGGAAGACATTCTCTCTGTTGCAACAAAGATATGGTTAAATTGCCTTCTTTGAAACTTTCTTTTTTTTAGATGTTTTGCATGATTATCGAAAAAGATAGTAGAAATTCACATTTTAATAGTAATTTGAGGTTGTACTTCCGGGCAATTACCTAGTATAAATGAAAGAAAGCAATTCAGCAAGTCACCAGAAAATTATTTTCAATTACAATGCTAAAGCAAGTTTGATTGTAAGGAGAAACTGCCTTGCAGTAAGAGTGTAAGTTATAAGTTTAGGCTCATTAAATTAAACAAAGAAGGGCATATATTAAGTGCGTAGGTCTTTTATAATTAAATGTGTATTAAATGTCTTAATTTCAATCAAATAAAAGAAAATATATGAACCTAGATCTTTGTCTCTCAAAGAAGGGAATGGAGGGCTCTGTGGCTAAAGCTGCATCCATCCACCACCGGTTCGCATCATTCATACCAGGCTTGGTAGACATGGTCGTTAGGAGAGTTTTGTTATTTAATAATATAGGATATCTTTATGCATACAGCATAACCCTGACTGCAAACGAAGATAAATAAAAGCTACATAAAATGTCATTTATGTTCACTGGACAAATCCATTTTCAACAAAGCGATTTCAAGGCTGGGATAATTGAGAAGTCAAGATCAGCAGTTAGATGACCCTTCTGAGGAAAAGGAAAATGGCTAGGGCCAATGCGTAAAATCATAAATCCCATCAAGCCTGAGGTGCCGTGCCCAATCCATACCCGAGTACGATAAGCCGAATCTTACTAAGCAACCAAGTTCAATTATTTGAGGTCCAAGTGGGCCATGGCCATTCAATGGCATCACACATTCTACGCCAATTGAAACAAAAGAATGCATTCCACCGTCAACAAGATCTACGAGGATACTCCACCAATTAATTCAGTTTAGGGATAGATTCTTGTCGTTCCAACATCAAAGTGCCTCAAACCATTGCAATCCCATCTATTAACTAAGCTCAAATTTAATTGAAAGCTTAATTGTTTTCAATATCTTTTACTAGATTATTTTCCAACCAATCTAAAAGCAAGTCTTGGTTCCTTCTATTCGTGCATGTGATTACAAAAGCCCTTCTCTAGAAAATCAAAATTCATTTAAGCTAGAGCCTTTTAAATTGGGTAAACTGGCTTGAAGTTTCAGGAAAAGTTGAAGATGAACAGCTAGAATCAGGCATTGGAAACTGGAAGCTCACCACAATCACTAACAACCACCTTCTTTCGAGGACGGTCTCCTCTGTCAGTCTCTTGCGATTCAATAAGCTTAACTATATCCATGCCTTCCAAAACCTGCCCGAATACAACATGCCTTTGATCCAGCCATGGTGTCTGCAATTTGCCCAATGGTCAAAAAGAGCCCTATAAATCCCTTGGAACAAAAATTCAATAATCATCCAAATCTCTATCGTTTTATTGTATTAATTAAGCTTTCAATCATCTATTCACTAATTGAGCCTTTATTTCATGAAAATTAGTTAACTAACAACAGGCATTTCCGTCTAATCTTAGTCTAAATCAATTGAGATGAAAATAAACATTTAAGAATTCAACTAATATTAAATAGAAAATTTAAGATTTGATTAATTGTAATAAAATGTTAAGAGTTTAAATGATTATTGAATTTTTATTTGAGGTTTTTTTTACCCTTTGCCATACATTTGTTAACATTGAAATGACAATGCATAACTGAATTTAGATAGATCATTAAGACGAAGCTAACACACAAGGATTTGGAGTAGTTCTTCTTTATTGCTAACTGAATTTAATAAGCCAACATGCAAGCCCGAGCATACACACACAAATGTAACTATCAATAACTAATTGCTATTAGTCAAACAGTTCCATTCCACTCAAAGGAATCAACCTATAAAAATTGAGAAAATGATAACAACAGTCATAAATAAACATTAATTGAAACCAAAAGGCTAAAATATTAAAAAAGCACTTATACTTTTTCAAATTTCCTAGATAAACCCTTATTCTTTTATTCTACCTAATTAAACTCTTAAAGTACTACTTTTGTTTAATTAAACCCCTATTTGTGTAACGGATTTTAGTGGTTTTCATGCAAAATAAGGGCTTAATCAAATAAAAATAGTACTTTAAAGGCTCAATTGTGTACAATAGACAGATGAGGGCTTATTTGAAATTTCTGAGAAAGTATAGGAACCATTTTAGTATTTTAGCCAAACCTAAAACACGCTTGTTGTCTACTGCAAGCAAATATCAGATGTTGGTTGCAAACTTACAGTAAGTATATATTTGATAACTTGAGATTGTTTAGTGAACCGTATTCACTGAAAGTCCTTTGCATAGTGTAATATTTGCAATGGGATTTACTGTAGAACTCAATTTCCACACGAGACACTAGTAGAACATACACATATACATAAACATTAAATCACAATAAACAAGATGATATTCTTTTAGCAAAAATCTATTCAATTTTATTGCTGGCCAGCAAAATGTCAAGTCTTTCTGCAAATTTTGTCAATTAAAGTGTCAATTAGTATATGTATTGCCAGAGAGTACAATAATGGTACTTTCAATAAATATTTACAGGCAAAATGGGCAACCAGCCAACATGAGGTGCAAGAATAACAGAAAAAAGAAATTGTTATTTTATCTCACTTTTTTTGTATGTGTGTGTAAAATTATGATGATAACATTAAACTCAAAAATAAACCGTGTGCCATTGTAGGAATGATGGTTAATGGAACAGGGAAACATACCTTGACAGTGCAAATGAAAAATTGACTGCCATTGGTGTTGGGGCCTGCATTTGCCATACTAACAACTCCTGGTCCAGTATGGGATACTGCAAGACATTCTAACTATCAGAAATTGATGCACTAAAGGCAATTAAAGAACAACCGGATGACAGAAATTCGGAAGCATTGTTCACTAATTCCTGACAAACTATAGCTTGATTAACAGTAAATTGGACAGCCATAGATTGCTGCTCAATTCTTCGTAAGTTTATCCTGAAAAAAGACTCCTCTACACAATCTTGCTAAAGCAAGGTGCCATAATTTCACTTCTAAGTTGATACAAAAGTAGCAATCGACTTACACTTGAAGTTTTCATCTTTGAAGGTACGACCATATATACTTTTGCCTCCAGTTCCCTGCAACAAATTTCAAAAGTCATTGTATTATAATTAAGCAAGCTGGTAAATGCCTACATTCTTGATCTACATGGAAGCTCATATACTAATGCCCCACTTTAAAGACAGCAGCAGGCACAACTGAAGGTACATTTTCTTGGCAAAAGCCAAGAAGACTTTTCAAAGAATCTCCAAGGAAATTGCCAATATTCAATCTAAAATAAAGATGAAAATGGATTAAAGAGAAAGCATATTCTATGAGACTAACTCCATGAATTGACAAAGAAAAAAACTAAAAACTAATTAAAAAAAAGAATTGGCCTTTTGTAGAAAGTCATGGATCTAAGTGGTGAAACCATCATTAAAAATGGAGCCCCTAATTTAATCATATTGGATTTACATAGCCCTTAAGGTGACCTAGTCTACAAAGGAAATTTAAGACAGCTACATTTCTCCATGCATGCATGCCTAAAGATGCAAAGAGCTTCATCTTTACTAGCCTTATCCTAGGTCAGAGCATGTTGACAGACTACAAATATAACTCCATGAGACCACAGATATCTTAACTGATAAGAAGAGATGTACTCCCTTTGCAACATAAAATTACAAAGTAAAGGAAGAATAATAAATCAATATGAAATATGGAGATTAGGACTGCCAGGCTAAGTAATGAGTCAAATAAATTTCTTCTCTCCTACGTCAAGTGAAAAAATTTTGTTTCTCAGAAAAGCTATGACGTATTTTTCTGTCAATATCAAATACTAAATTGCACTAAGTTAAGACTTGCATTGAACAAAGGTGGATAAGAGATTTAGAGAGCGAGAGACTAATAGTACTACTAAATAGAGGGTTGAGGGGGAACAGAAAGTCTCCCTTTAACATACATCCCCAGACTAAAAACAAAACAAAAAGGAAAACCAGGGCGTCTTGTTGCCAAGCTGATTTTATCCACTTTCGTCAAAGACTAAGAATGCTCCATCCACGTCTTAAAAACATTAATCTTTCCTAATTCATTGCAGTATTATTGGGCTCTGATGCCATAAATACTATGAAAGTGATTTGCAAGCTTTTTCGGTAATCTAACTGGGGAAGTAGCGTGGGTTCAAATGTCCACAAAAGCATAATCAAACGTGGTATAAACCATAAAGGTAATGAGTTTGAAAGAAGCACTCACATTTCCTTTATCAAAGTCCCCTCCTTGAATCATGAAATCTTTAATGACACGATGGAACATGGAACCTTTATACCCGAAGCCTTTCTCGCCTAAAAAAAGAAGGCACAAAATTGAAAATTAAATAAGGAGTTAAAAGCAATATGCTTTATGTGAAATTAAGTGAATGCGCAAAACAAATTTACAACCTGTGCATAGAGCACGGAAATTCTCGGCTGTCTGGGGCACGTCATCACCGTACAATCCAATCACAATTCTTCCAGCAAGCTTACCCACTGGATTCCCAATGCTTATATCGAAATACACTTTGTGAGTTACTTTTGATTGTAAAGTTGCTACCTACACCCTCAGATTTAAAAACCAATACTTTATTACTATGATTTTATAATTTACTACTTTAGCAAACTAAATAATCATAAGGGAAAGCCCTAACCTCAGCCCGGACACGGCGGAGAATACGGGAATTCCATTTCATCGGGGATGAAGTAAGAGGGAGATGGCGCAAGGACCCAGAGAAGAAGCTGGAAGACAATGAAACTGAGACTTTTCCAGGAAGCTTCACTGCATTACATGTTGGGCTAAGCGTTTGATTATTGGACATGCTTTTTGGAACTGAAAGCATGCCCACATTTGACTGCAAGCAAACGAAGAACGGTCAGACAAAAAAAGGAGGAAATAAATGGAAATAAAGTAAGAGAGTTAGAGGAAATACCAGGGTTGAGAAAGGAGCCGCCATTGGATAATCTGGAGGTCAAGGTTGAGCTATACTTACTGACAACTGATAAGAGTGCCTTTTTGGTTAAGAGAGACCACGGAAGTCGAATGAATACGAAAAGAAAACGATTTTTTTTTTTTTTGGCAAAATGACGAATGGGTCCTCTGCTGGTTTGGTTGAAATTACGTGGCGGAAATGTTTTTTTTTTTTATCTTACGCAAATTGATTTGCCTAACTCGTGTATGGCTTGTTTATTCACCTTACATTGGCTCCTTCTGGTTACTTTAGTGAGAATTACCAACAATAATACACCCACATCCATTTTTTCTATGTTAAGTTTACAGTATTTTTATTTATACCATGAATTTTTTGTTAAATATAAAATTCAAAAAATACAAACATGCTGTGTTCGAAATTAAATTGTCGAAATAACTTTTAATGCAGAAATTATTTTTCAAGTTTAAATAAGAGCCCATCATTAGGTTTCAAAAGCTAATAAAACAATATAAGAACATCTGCAAAATGTTTATTGGATACAGCTTCAAAATATACGAGCTTTCCTTTGTAACCTTTGTTAGTCTATACAAATCTAAACCTTTGTCATTGACTCACTGTACTTGTCCTACCATTGGATTTCTAAACCGGGCACCTGTATTCTCATTTTCACCAAGGGGTGGGCAAAAGAAACCAAAAAAAAAATAAATAATAATAATAATAATAAAGGAATTTTTATCAGCAAGACGCTTTCGCCAAGAGCCTTAAACCTATACAGCTTACCAGGGAAAGATGTCGTCCAGAAATTACAGAAGAAACGATCTAATCATCTACATGTTGTATTTCACCCATCATAATGCGATTGCTTGTGACTTTAAAACCAAGAAGTGCAGGATCAATCTGCCGCCCTTTCTTTCCTTTCTTTTTGGCACCCCTACCCCCTTGGGTCCCATCGGAAGACTCTGGGCCCGCTGTTCCATAGACCTCCGGCATAGCATTCTTCTTTGCATTACTTTTCAACATGTCAATAAATGATGCCTCAGAGACGTCACCATCCCCATATGATGAGGTACGCCGGAAGAGCATCCCTTTCTTGGCCGATGCCCCAACGTCCAACTGGTTAGCTAGATTTCCCCCAGGATCTGGCTTTCCTCCTGAGAATATCAGACACGAAAAGCATTACTTTCAAGCAATGTAGTCTAGAACGCAAATACAAGCTGATATAAAATGAACAGCTAGTTTCCAACACAAGTCCTGTAAAGGTGTTACACAATGAAATCATTCATGCTCAATGATTTATCACTACCCTTCTTTCCCTCAGTGTTTCTCACCAAAAAGTTTTGAAAGATATGTAAGGTATTGAGTTGCTAGTATTACCCTCATTGCTGCCTAAAGAAAATTTTCCCGTGCCAGCTGGATTGAAGACAATATCAGACAATCCTTCCTGAGATAATGAAGTATGAGAGACAGATGTATGCCTCAGCAACATATTGTCTTGGGCTTTGGCAGGGACTCGCACACTGTCAAAGGCCAAAAATGAGCAAAGCATAATTACGATGCATTTTGTTACGTAAGAAAATATGAAACCAGCTACCATACTAATGCACATAAACTAGAGGTCATCATCCTCAATGACACATGTAAGTTTCCAACTGGTTGATAGCAAAACTATATCAATATAAGATAGACGCTCCTATTCCATTCAAAGCTGAGGTTATTTGGCAATGACAAAACAGCTGGAAAAAAAAAAAAAAAAGGGAAAATGAAGTGGATGAAACATGACGAAATAGCTGTTCCAAGCAAGGAGACACTAACTCATTTTCTGCCAATTCAATAGTTTAATGTCATATTAGGGCAACCAGACACTTATTGTGTGTCTCAAAAGCATGGTTATCCACCTCATTTCATCCAGGACAATCAGACAAGACCACCACAGGGTTGATAAGGTGAGGCAACCAAGAAGCACAAGATCATTTAATAAGTTTAGTTCCAAATTGAGTGTTTATAAGTTTAGTTCAAAATTGAACGCAAATATATGAAAAATGCTCATTCACAACTTCTCCTTTCATGGCCATCCAGGCTTAACAAATAGCTTCCCAACAGTAGTTTAGTAATGTAAAACAAAAAAAAAAAGAAGAAAAAAGAATTCATGGACATGAAACTAACCAATCTTTGGCCACATCATCTGGAAATGAATTGCACGATCCAATATGGTCATCGTAAAAGCCAGTATTTCCACCTATGAGAATTTCAAAATATATGTCTTATGACATAATTCACTTGTTCTTTCCAAAAAAGAAGGCAAAATATCAGATACATATAACAGAAAATTTACCAGAAACACTGATTGAAGGATGCCTACTAAGAGCATTAAAAGGAATCTCCCCTTGGTCTGCAGAAGTAAACCCTCCTGGCTTGCCCATGCTGTCTTGACCCTCAAACATTGACCCTATTGTCACCATATCGCTTTTAGATCCATAGTTTCTCCACTCCACATCTGGTGACTCTTTGGTTGGAGTTAACAAATCAGTCACATTAGCACCTCCGTAAATCACCTGAGCATTCTCACTGATGCGTGACAAGAATGGCTGTCCCTCAGAAAATGCTGCAGATTCAGCCCTAAATGGCAGCCTTTCACTGCTTTCTAAACTGCCACCCTGCTTATCAGCTAAAGAAATATGAGACAGCTCAGATGAACTTGAACCATAAGAGCCTACAATAAATGACTTGTTTAGACCTGCCTCTTGCTCTGCTAGAACACTAAATGGGTGATCCAAAGAACTCGATCCCGTATAGATGCCAGATGAGGCCCTATCTAATGACTCAGGCTGATGGACAGATTTCTTATGTAGCAATTCCATTAACAATTGCCTGGACTTGTCATCATTAAGGCCATCAGACATCCATAAGCCTGGATTCTCAGAAGTCATTTTGACTTCTGAATCCCTTTTCTGCCTTTCAGAATTAATATGCAATTTCTGGATTCCAGGTTCCATCCAGTCATCTTCCAGCTGGGCATTGCTCCCAGACCAGGGGCCCTCATTTGCATCTAATTGGGAGACATGACCCTGATTGGGGACTGAAGAGTGTTGAGGATTATGAGGGTGGATGCCAGAAGAAAATGTTATAGCTTGACTAGCAGATTGTATATGCGTGCTTGGCTCCTGTATATTTAAACCTTTAGCACGAACCATAGCATTTAGTACATCCATATTAATCCCAGAAGCAACAGCAGGCAAAGACATTGATTGCTCGAATTGCAATGATGAAGGCTCAAAAAGCCGTTGATGAAGCTGCTCCTTCAATGAAAGATTGCGCTCTACATTATTTGGCTGCTCCTCATCAATAGGCCTTTGCTGTTGGTGATAAAAGTCTAATGGGCTAAAGCTTGAAGAATGAACTCGGTTAATACCAGCATGGTTCCTGAGAAGCTGATTGCTCTGATCAGCCGGCCATGTGGAGTCTACATCACTTTCTCCATTATGCAGTCTCAGTCCCATTGAGAGCTGCCTTTGCAGCTGCTCTTGTTGAAGAAGCTGACACTCCAAAGACTGCAGCTGTCCATGCTGTGCCGGCGAAATTAATTCAAATAGGTCTCTTTGAAGCTCTTCTTGTGGTGCTTGACCAAATTTTGGTTGAACGAGCTGCTCTATCAAAGGAACATGTCTTGGATGATGATGGGACTGTTGTTGAAGCTCATGTCTAAGCTGCTGTTCCAATAAAACCTGATCAAGTACACTTCGAGATCTGATAGGATCAAAATGTGACTGGGCAAGGCCAGGGTCAGGCACTTGACCATGCAACAGTTGCTCAAGAAGAACTTGTCGAACTTGAGACTGCTGTCGCTCCTGTAAAAGCTTTTGCTGCCGTTGAAACTGTTGCTGCTGCAATTGATACTGCTGGAGTTGAAGCTGCCGTTGCTGTTGCATCTCTAGAGCCAAAAGGTGTTCCATATCTGGGGTCGAATGGTTGGACAATTGTCGCTGATGGATCAAATTCTGATTCTGACTTGGCAAATGTTCCAGAACTGATTCATTAAGGCGTCCATGAGGAGACAACATATTTAGCTGTTGGAACTGCTGTTTCTGAACTTGTTGAGACATAAGTTGCTCTGCTAAATCAAAATGGTTTGATTCTTGTTCCACATGCAACATGTGCTGGGCAGCCAAAGCATCTTGGAACAAGTTGTGGTCAGGAAGTACACTTTTTATATAAACATCAGACCAGGGCTCTCCAGCAACAGCTGCATCAGCCACAGGACCAAATGGGGCAGCCCTCCCAATGCCAATAGGAAAATTGGAAGATTGATTGTTCCTTGATTGAGCACCTTCAAGCTCAGACCACAATAAGCCAAACCGATGCAACTTATCATTTTGATTTGGTATAGTTTCAGTCAACTCATTTGGAAGAGACAAGTTGCTCCCAGAATTTGCCAAAGGATCCTGAAAATGAACAGGTTTCACAACAGGATAGCTAGAATTTCCAGATCTTCCTGGGAATACAATTTCTGGAAAGAAACAATTAATCATCAGCATAGAATATACAGAATAATTGAAACTACTAGTTAATACAGTTCGAACAACATTGAATAAGTATAAATAAAAGGACCTTCATCTTTTGCAACAAAATCATCAAAATTTTGACCCTTAGAATGTGGCAGTTGCAGTCGACCCTCAGGCTCAGAAATTCTTGAATGAACATGCAGATATGAGAGGTTGTTGAACTCAGACACTGGGTGGCACAGGTCATTTTCATTGGATGAATCTGGAATGTTGCTGACTGGAGCAGAAGCAGGTAAACTAGCCTCCAAATTTCCTCCCAAAGCCCCAGATTCCTCTGGCCAAGAATTCAAATTAACAATGCTGGCATGTCCATTTTTGGCTTTCAGCTGTGGCAAGATATCACCCAATGCTTGAAAAGGTGTTCCTTCAGGAGAATCTCCCAGACATACTGGCAAGTCAAGCCCAAAGAAACCTTGTTCAAACCACATTATGATGTCAGCCCCAAGGAACGGACCCTGGGTATTCCCCTGAGGATCAATGTAAAACAAAGTAAACTCCTCAGAAGTTCGCCTTCCCAAACTCTTTGCCTCACTGTTACTCTCCATTACTTGCCCATCACGACTCTGATTTTGCTCAAATGCCACATGAAATAGAGTGCTTGAATCACTGGGAAGCTTCAATTTAACGTCAAAAGAAGGGGTTGGCTCATTGCCATCAAATCGAGGATGGCTAGAAGATGCAAAATCCATCTGCCAATTTTCACTAATATTATGGTGAGAAGAACCAATCTCTATTGCACTGCAAATGCCATTAGTTTTAGGTAATGTTGGTATAATTTCATCTGAATTTGAAGGGAGAGAGCTGGAAGCAATTTTATCCTCTTCTTCATGACTGACTTCTTTTCCTGCTACAAAACACAGTCAGGTCCCTTGTTAATCTAAACGGTTGCACCACCATATTTCCAATTTATGTAAAACCAGGACAAGAACTTAAACCAAATTATCTTTCCTTTCTGAGTAATACACAAATCATCACTTACCAACTACCATATGAGCTCGATATGCATCAGCACATGCAGCTTCTTGTAAGCTATCAACAGTTGCTCCAGTAAGAATTTGACTGAGGATAGCCTGTTTCTCCTCAGAGGATTCTAAGTCTCCAACTTCTACACAAGGCATTGAAAGAGTCAGATAAACCATCAAGCATAGAAAAATGAGGTAATATTGAAGTATAAAGTTGTACCTGAGACATTTTCATTTGATTTCCCCTGTCTACATGAATTGTGCACTACACTGCTAGTAACCTTACCCTTCCATATATCATTAAGGATAGTCTGTAAGTGTTACAAGAACAAACTAATCAACTACCAGAGCAAGGAAAGAGCATAGAGTAACAAATCACAATATGAACAAAAGTAAGCTAATTACAAAAAAGGTATATGTTACCTCCTCTTCAGTATCAGGTGCAACAAAAGCCAATGGTTCAATATCGTCCACTAGAATTAAAGGAGGTGATTCTTCCATCCCATCAGGCATGGCAGCAAAGGATTGACCAAGCTTTTGCATGCGATAAATGTCAAGCAGCTTCCCTCTAGGATAGCAAAAAGTATCAGCTGAAGGGTTTGGTTTCCCAGGGACACTTTCACTTTTAAATGAGTGAACGGCACCAATGGGACTTGCACATGAAGACCTTCCAATTCCAGTTGACCTTCCCCGTCCAACGGTAAAACCAAGGTTATGACAGTCCACCCTTCCTTTCTCGGCTCCAAATCCAGGTGCCGCACGAGAGGAAGTTAAACCACTTGAATGTACCTCCATTCTATGGCGCGGTCTCCATTTATCACGAGAATCTGTTTCACGCTCGGCAACTGAACGATTGCTACTAACAAATGACTGATTGTCATTGTGAGTATCTTCCTTCCCTTTTTCAGCATCCGTCCTCTTCTCAGAGTGGGATTCCTTCTCTTTGTCTTCAGGACCCCACCTAGACGACCATTTGCTATCACGGCGAGATTCATGCCCAGGATTGCGGATGTTACCATCATGCCACCTATCAAAGGATGACAAAGATCTACTTTCGGTTGTCTCCCTTGTTGAAGGAGTGTCAACATGGCGCTCCCCTTTCCTGCGGTCTCTCCTACTGCTGAGTAAGCCTGTTTCTCTTTCCTCTTCACGCCAGCGGCGACTACTTTCACTCTCAGTCAGAGTCCTCCTCCAATCTTTTTTCTCCTCAGATCCATCCAAGCGCCAGCCCTCCTTCTGATTGGGATCACTGCTGTTTCCAGTAGACACAGAATTTGGAACACGTGTATCCTGTGATACATGTCAAAATAGTTAAAGAAGCATGTAATGAAGTATAACATTTGGCAAAGTGGACATTCTCCAAGTGGGCATTATATATACACACGTGTGCGCGCGCACACACGAACACAACTTCTCACACTCTAGGAAAATTGTCCATTTCACATAACTAAAGAATGATATAACTTTTCAGAGTTACTCTCACAAGCATTTCAAATCACAAGGTGATCAACAAACCTCAATAAAGCTTGTTTTAGGAAATTATATTATAAGAACAAGTGAAAACATGGACTCATTTTCCCTATAGAAGTTGCAAGTCCCGAGTGACCAGGATGGAAAACAATATTTGATGCAGAGGAGTATATTAAAAGGATTGATTGCACATACTGTTATAAGTCCCTAAAATATTCATGAGTAATTGTCTCACTCAAGTTTGTGTCAATTTTTGTGAAATCAGGGTGCAGGAAAGGAAATCAAGTTCCATGATACAATACATCTAAATTGTAGCAGAAACGCTGAGGGAAAACTAAAAGTTTATACTACGGTGCCTGAATCACCATCACATGCATATGTATAGCCTTAAAAGGTTACTCTGAACTCTTAGTTTAAAGCTACTCAGATAAAAAAAATGAAAACAAAAGCTCAGGAAACCTATATACCATCTTTGTCTCAGTGGGTTTAGCATAGAGCCATTGCGGAGACAAAGGTATGCTATTCTCTGTTGCCAGTTGATCTGCAGCAACCAATTAAGTCAAATCAAGTGTTACTCAAAAAACAAGCAAAATCCCTAAAAAAAGAAAATGACAGAAACAAGCAAAATAGCAACACCAAGTTACTCCTTATTTGGCAACAAAACCACTGCAAGATCAATGGACATAAAGCTACCTTTCGATTCATCAACTTTTTCCTCATTTCCTCCCGAACCTTCCACTGCTGTAAGATGTTCAAAAGTGAAAACAGAAGAGAGAACGTTAAATTTTATGTATAAAATTCAGCTGATACATAGTATGATAGGCAACAAGAGAACCCTTAACAAACACTCGTTCTCCCCCACAACATAAACCAACAAAACATAAACAATGATTGGTAAAGAATATATTAATTGCTGTTCAGAAATTCAAGATCTCCTAGCAACTATAATCTACTCAGTTACTTGCCAAATCGAGCAGTAACGTTATAATTTCAAAAATTAATCAAAAACCAGATGATGGCTGTTTTATTAAATAATAAAAATTGCAAAATGGAAGCATTAATTACTATTATTCCGTGACAATCAGAAAGTGTATGAGCCATGCCCTAGTATGAAAAAAAAAATTTAAGAAAGGAAATCAATCATGTAATATACAGAAAATGATAAAACAAGAGCTCAAGAAGTTCAAAACCCTATAAGAGTAAGTTAAAATCCAATAGGACAAATCAAGTTGTAGGACTACTGGGTTTGGCTGCGGTAGAGATCGATAAATTCCAGAAATCTCACATTTTCTCTAAGGTCAGTAAAAATCAAGCAAATAAACGAACGAAAAACCGTATGGAAATGAAAGGAAAGTAATGAATGAGAGATAAGTACCTTTGGAGGTCCACGGGCAATCAGATGAGAGGAGATCGTCAGGCAGATCGAACTTGCCTTCAGCCATCGGACGGTCGGGAAGTCGTAGTGTCAAAGAAAGAGAGAGTGAAGATCACAGAATGATTATACAAAGCTCGGAAAGAACAAGATGGAGATTTTATGAAAAATTGGGAGTTTCGAAAAGTTTGAAAGAGATGATCTGTTGAAAGTAGAAAAGAGGGGTGTGGGCTATGGCTTGTCTGCGTGAGAGAGAACGAAAGAAAAGGGTAAGAAGGGTGTGGATGGTCAGAGCAGGCGAAATCTGCTTAATCACATAACAAGAAGATTGCTGGCTGTCCTTTTCAAAATAAATAAATAATCAAAGGAAACACTTTTATTTGCTTATAGACTGTTATTATGATCATTTTACCTTATCATATAATTAGGGATATTAAGCATGAAAAAGTTATTTCCTTCTTTATATCCGAAATTTTATATTATATGATGGATATTTTAAATTTATTTTTATTTTTTAAATATATCTGAATTTTTATATTTATTATTTATATTTAATGAATATTTTAATTTTATTTTTATTTTTCAATATTTAATAAATATGAATAATTTTTGTATCTATAATTTTTTAAAAAATAAAAATCAATATATATTTATAAATTTTTTTTAAAAAAGTTATCTTACATATTTATATAATTGTCTATAAATATATTAAAATTATTTTAAATAAAAATATTTAGTTTTAATTAATTTAAAATAATAATTTATATTATTTAATAAAAAATATAAATATATATAAAATATGAGTATGGATATGAGACAAATATTATATTACTCGTCTTCATTCTCATACTTAATAAAAAATTTAAAATTATATTTATCTTATCTTCATCCTCATAATATAATACCCATTTACATCTTTATTCAGATAAAAAATAAAAATTTTCAATTAAATAAGTGTAAATTTGACAATTGTACATATCATATCTTATCATAAACTATTGAAGGTGAAATTTGTAAATTTAACTAATACAGTATTTTTTATTATATTGGCTTTTTAAATGAATTTTTATAGATATATCTTTAATTTTAATTTTGTTTGTAAAAATTTTAAATTTTGTGTTAAATAATTTTTTATATATAACTAGAAAATAACCCACACTTACAAAGCTAGGAATTTTTTAATTATCATTTTTAGTAAATTTTATTTAAAAAAGAAATTATATTTTTAATTATCATTTTTATTAAAATTTGTTGAAAAAATGAATAATTGAAATCAAAATGTATAAAATAACTTTATTTTTATTGTTGGTTGAAGATTAAATTATAAAAAAATAAAATTTGCAATAAAAAGACAACCATTCGACTTAATTTTATTGAAAGCAAATAAAAGAAGTGCATATATTATGAAATTTTGTACAATCAATCTAAAAAATACATAATTTCAAATAAAATCTATAGAATAGAGTAAAGTTTTCTTTTAAAAAATTAGAGGTTAATTTATAAACAATTAATATTTGTCTTAAATTTTGATGTGAAGATTAAATTACATAAAAAATTATATTAATCATAATGTTAAATATTTTGGAAGATGTGCATGGCCAGGGCTAACATAAATTTGGGTATTTTTTCCTAAGTATTATAGGCAATTGTCTAAATATAATTAAATCTAAAATCTATAACAATATATTTAAAGTAGCCTCGGACAATTGAAATATAGATTGACATCTGTTCAATTTCATTTGCTTGACAAGTATGTAATTTTTTTAATTAAATTAAAACTAAGAGGAGAGGCTTTGAAGCTTACGGGAGAAGGGAAGTTTCTCTGGATGGTCAAGGGAAACAAATGTAGAAGCCTATGGAGTGGGATAGGAAAAGGGCAGCTTATTAGCTTGACATGTGGCTTTTTTTCCTTAATTAAACAAAATGATTTTTTAGATCCTGAGATACTTTTTGAAGTGTTGATTTTAACAGTAAAACAAATAAAAGCTTCTGGAGAAGACAAAAGCTTCATGATTCTATTGGTAGTCGTTCAAACCGTTTAGAATTAAGATGAGTAAAACTTCATGATTCTTCATGATTCTGAAGAAACTTCTTGCCTTTTGATGGCTTGAGAAGAACATGATGGCTCGAGAAGAACAAAGAAAAAAGGAAGGGAATGGAAATGGGAAATCGAGACGAAGACCACGGTGGCTAGACTGGGTCCGGAAGATCAGTACCGATCTGGTGGTTGGTGGCTAGAATGGGTACAAACATCCCAATCGATATAGGTTCCGGCACCTGTTGCTGGACCGCCTGTCGCTTCATCATCTTAGCATAACATTTTATGCTTCATTTTTTTCTTAATATTGTTTTTATACTAGTTTACTTTAATTAAATGTTCCAACAGAATGATTTGCTTGAATATAGAAGATTTTCGATGTTCAATATAATTAGCTTGAGTATAAAACAATATAATTTGCTTGAAATAATATTCATGCTAATTGTAAAAATCAATATTCAATTAGTTTTGCTTTAATTAGAACAATCCCTGGAAATTTTCATGCTAATTATTGAAATTCTTCGTACATAGAATGATTTGCTTGCATGACGCATGGAAATTTTCAGTTGATGATTGGATACATGATCTGTTTCTTTTTTAGTTTTTAGAGAATATGTAGTAAACTCATGCATGTTATAATACATACACTGATGATCATCTAGAAATTCCACCATATACACGCATATATACCACTTAAAATTGTTTAATATCATATTCAATGTGTTTCAATGAATTATTAGGAAAAAGATAGGTGGAAAAGTTCGTGAGCTTGAAACAAGAAAGTCGATAAGAAAACCCCATGGAATAAGTAAATTGGCACCAGTTGAGGTTTCTCTCCCTTTCTGTCTCTTCCTAATAAGTAAACGAAGTAAATTTTTGTTTACATATCTATCAGATAGTATAAATACACATGAATTAAATCCAAATAGTTATATATCAGTTTATTTTTTATGTTTCATATATTTTAGCTCGGAGTACCTACTTTTTTCCTTGAAACTCTGTGCTTATAATCTGTAAAAATCGAAATGCATTTTGATCTTCATAAAAAAACATGACATGTCTTTTACCATTTTAGTAAGTGTCAAAGCTTTAAAATTGGCTTTTTCTTATTATGATGGTGATATTGCTCATTTATACTTTAACTTTTTTTTAGATATAATAACACCTGTTGTGCCTTTGGGCTATACAGCAAGAGGTATGCTACTCCCAGCTCATCATAAACTCCGCCTTACCACGGTTTGAACTTGAAACCTCTAAATTGAATGTCCTTTCAGCCATTTTATTGAGGATCAAGGCTATTTCTTTTACTTTTTTGTTATAATTATATAAAATGGTATTTATTATAGTAAATTACAATAATAACTAGAAGCTCAAGGTTATGAATTATTGCTCCCATGATAATCTTAACTTTCTCATTTTTCTCTTTTGGTAATTGATTTGTGTTTTCAGAACCACAACCTTATTCTTCTCCATGGTTACCATGGAACAGTTGCTTATGAATTCATTTTGGATTTGAGAGTCTTTTAAGGTAATAATAATATACAACTTTTTTATCTTTTTTCTTTTTAGTCTACTGTTTGTTTCCATGACTGATTGTAAGCCACTAGTGCTGTAGGATGATGCTGGAATAAAGCATGAAAATGTTGTCAAACGTCTTATGGGCTATGGATTCCATGCTCTTACAGTTCATGGCCTGATCCAGCTACACTCATGATTGAAGCCACTGAAAGTGAAAGCAAGGTATGATTCATTAAGTATCTTTTTGTCTACCAACATTTGATGTTCCTCCTCTCTGTTTCTGACGTCCATATCTCTTGCAGCGAGAGCTGGATAGGTTCTGTGATGATCTTATCTCCATTAGGAAAAAGACTGTTCAGATTGAGAACAAAAAGGCTGATGTCCACAATAATGTTATGAAGGTGCAATGTCTTCTCTCTACATACTTTTTCCTTTTTTAGATAACAATAAGCAACGATCAATATACATTCATTCTACTATGTTCAAAAAAATATTGCATTTTTCGTAATATATGTTCATATGTTCAAAAAAATATTGCATTTTTTCTATCTTTTTAGATTTGAATGGTATCATGAATACAAACATGTTAATATCTCCTTAAAAGTTAAACAATTGTCTAAGTAATTAATGATTACATTTTAATTCATGATAAATTGTGGTTGTATAATGAACTATTATATTATTTTTTAATTATATTCCTTACCTTAATAATATAGAATTACATGATAAAACATTTATGTCATATAACTCGCGTGGCATAGTGCGGGTTATATTCTAGTTATATATAATAGTAGTCTTTTAAATGTCAAGCAATTAGTCCTTTATGAGACTACTATTATATTTTTATTTTAAAAATATTATGAAAAATTATGAAAAAATTACTATTTTTAATAAATAATTTTATAAAAAATGACAAACAAATTATAAAATATCAATAATCAATTAAACGTATATATACATACATAAAATACATACATTTATTACCATATATTATAATTTAAAGTAGTCTTCTAATTTAATTAGCCCTTTTAGGAGATTACTATTCTATTTTTTATAAAAAATTTTATTTAAAAAATAAAATTGTTATAAAAATAATAAAAATACTTCTTGATAAATATTTTTATGAAAAATTAAAAAAAATTATAAAATATCAGTAATCAATTAAACATATATGTATGCATACATATAAACACTTACATTTATTACTATATACTATAATTATAAATAATCTCTTAATTTTTACTATTCATTGGCCTTAATTGTTAACCTCATTGCTTGACATTTGTCAAGCACTTAGACCTCCACAAATATTTTTAAATTTAATTAAGGAGCAAAACAACATCATTTCTTATATATAAAAATAGTCTTTTAAATAGTGTTTTGAGCTAAATGAATATCTAATTAAGTTAGGTCCTTACCTTTTTGTATTTTTCTTTTAAAAAAATACCAAAAATATTTTTAAAAATCAAAATCTCTAACAAAAAAGAAAGAAAATCTAGAAAACCTCCTAAAACCAAAAAAAAAAATCCTAAAATAAAAAATTTTTAACTATAATAACTCACAATTTTTATATTTTTATAAATAAATAAATAAAGTACAATTAAATTCAAATAATTTATATTATTTTAAAGTAAAAAAATAACTTGAATGTAATCAGATAAATTTTAAAAAAATAATATAATAATAATAATAATAATAATAAATCTCTTCCATCTCTTTTACTCATTAATAACAAAGAAAGAAAATCTAGAAAACCTCCTAAAACAAAAATAAAAATCCTAAAATAAAAATTTTTTAAATGTAGTAACTCACAATTTGTCATATTTTTATATATAAATAAATAAAGTACAATTAAA